TACATTCTAAAAGCAGGTCAGCAGTTGGACTACTAGAAGAAAGTATTATTCTTTAGTCTGTTTAGGTTTGTAGGATATTTTAAACGGGATGCGTATGATGGACAACTATACGTCGAATAAAGACAACAGGCGCGGTAGAAGTCGGCGAACTAGGTGCCACCTGGAATGAGCGTTCATGTGCAATTTTACAACTGAATATTTGGAACCGTCATTCTTTAAGTTTGAATAATACAACTAAAGTTAATTGGGGGTGAAATCATACTGGTGCTAATTTTAACGATTTATGAGCTTACCACACCAGCGAAGAGGCGTTTCAGGTTTTCTATCAGTTCTTGCTTTTTTGCCGCTCGTGAGGATTCATGTCTTTCGACCTTGGCCTCACCAATCTGACAAATAACAGACTCCAGCTCCGCATTGATCTCCTCGATGCGCCGAGCAGCCATCTCAACTTCCTCACTAATCGACTTCTCCGTTTCTGTCAGCTCTGCGATAGAGCGGTGGCTTGATCTAAGGGCAAAATTGACAAACCGTGGAATTCACTGCTAACAAATTCGATAACAAGGACGTGATTTATGAGTTCCTAGGTAATATTCTAACGTCAAGTCTGTTCAACCGCTGGAACAGTCCTACAAGGGCGCAGATGACAAATGTTGAGGTTAAGCTGGCATGTCCACCTGCTATTGCTTAGAAAGTGCGAAAACTACTGTTCACCCAAGTTCATGTTCGGTTTGCCTGCAAATCAAACACGGGTGGTAGGGAAACGTGGGTCGGATCGTTAATCCGTATACCGACCATTCAGGCAGATCATAGGTGCAGCTTTCTGCAAGGACCATCGTCAAAGGTTGGCCAAAAACTAAGCAGGCGTCTGGGTCCGAGGGATGAGCGGACCAGAGGCGACAGACCTGAACGTGAAATTTCGACGTCCGAAAAGCCGGTTGTCTTATGAAAAATAACGAAAGCACGATGCCAGCAATGACAATGACATCGCGAACATAAAATAAATTAGATAACTGGTCACCACTGCCTCGTGGTCAGGTTCCTGATCCACAATAATCACACAGACGTTTGTTGGGACGCGATTAAAAACACGGACTCGAAGGATGCAATCGAAACATCATCGAATGAAGAATTATAGATTGTTGAATCCTTTTGAGCACACGGACTTTGTGTCACATCCATGCAAGAAAATTGCTTTAGAAGAGGTCTCACATATTGCGAATTCGATCTGTTTTATTACCCCGATGATTTCACGGGTTTCAACGAAGTTTAACAAAGACACGAGCACCTGACTGCTTCGATTATTTATTTCCTCTTCAATACGGTCCTGTGGCAGACAGTTGGACCCGAAGCATCAGAGGTTGCCAACCAGCCAAAGATCTCCCCGTCTACCGCCAACGGTCAGACATACTTCACCATGAATCTTGAGGCGACCATGATTTCGAATGAATTGATCTTTGACTCTGTTCGACTGTGATACAGCACTTCGTGTTCGCCAAGGAACCGACGATTCACCAATCTCTGCTAATTGTTAAAGAGGTCCATGACCCACTGTAAGGCAGGGTTGCCCAACAGCGCGTCTTGGGGAACATTGGCTAACACTTCATTGAACAGTGTTCGCAGAGGAACGTAACTCATATGGAAGTCGTTGAGATGCCAAGGATCCCTCTTTGTGGTTGACTCGGACCTTGGTCTTTTAAATTCCACAGCACGACGGAACTAGTCAGAGCGGCTTCTATTCACGGACTAGGTCTATAATAGAACTCCTATGGCGATCAGAGATTCCTGCCTTGTTACGTCAAAAAGCCGTAATCTCAGATAGTCCTGCCACTGTCACCACTGAGATCACAACCGTAGCGAGCACCGCAAAAGCATGAAATGGGAGAAGGACGTCAATGCTGCATATTGGAGTTTAAAACTCACGCCAACCAACCTCCCTATAAAATAACTCTCTGCTTCGGCGATATTACAAACGCGCAAACGATAACTGGCAAAGCAATGGGCTGTGTCATGCTCGATCCTTCGGCATACATTCTTTTGCTCATTATCTGCTCTCTTGAAGAAAGGTCCGAGAAAGGACTGTGCTAGATTGGGCTCGTGGCGTATTAGTATGCTACTGGACGCAGTTTGTCACGCACTAACCAATGACTACGGTGGAAATTCAGAAACCACTTCGTGTTCATCAGAAGCAGTCGAAATACGATCTTCAGGTAATAATGCAGAAGCAATGCCTAACTATGGTCAGCCTGTCCACTAAGCAGACTGGTGACAACGCCGTTGATCAGCCACTCTTTGTGAAAAGCATGAGTGAGACATGCCGGCAAATCCACTCCGTAAAGATGGCGACTGAACACAGTGTAATCTAGTAAACATGTTGGCTGCACCAAGAAACTCCTAGGTTTTTGGAGCAAAACGTTAACTGAAAGCAGACATCGAAACCAAACGACTTACTCTATAAATTCGGTAAGTTTCTGCAGACGCTTCTGATTGTCATTCAGTTCTGTCTGTTTGAGGCGCAACGAGTTCTCTATCTCCTCTTTACGCCGCTCCAAAGCATCAGAGAGGTCCTTTTGTTCGTCGTACTCCCTACTAAGACTGTCAAGCTGTGCGGAGAGGTGCGACGTGTGCTCAGCGACCTTCTGCTTTAGTCTGTGATATTCCGCCAGCTATGATTTAAAAAACGGTTCAAACGATGTGTAGCATAAGAATGCACAGAAAAAAAATGCGACAATACTAAGGATCCTTATTTTTCATAAACTCAAATGCCAGAAACGTACTTGAGAATCTTCCAATTCAAGTGAGCGACCTTGCTCCTGACTCTTCTTATTTTGCTGCCTTTCGTACTCCTCTTTAAGCTCAAGGATTCGAGCATATTCTGCACTCAGTTGGTCCATTTCTTGACGGTGGCTACTATGCAGTTGTCTGGCGTTCTCTAAAGATTTTCTTGGGGAACGATTCACACGAAGTTGCGCAAACTCACTTGGACTCTTTGTGCTTGTCGTTGACGTGCCTTAGCAACTGCGAAACCTTGATATATTCAGGCTTCTTTTTAGATATCTTTTGCTCCTAAAGCGTACGACAAATAGACATAGAGAATGACACCATGCATAAACTATGATTATTACAAGGTTCTAAGGCGTATCTTCCAAAAATTATTAAAACAGAACGAAGACAACATGAAATATGAATGCAGTCCCAGTGATAGGAATTATTGGCAAGTTTGCGTTTTTCATGATTGCCAAAGATCATGGGAGACAAAAGAGCAGAAAATATGATAAAGGCCTAGTAAAAGACACCCAGAACTCACGCATTTTTTAATTTCTTGTTCTATACCAGCTTGGTCCCGATGCAACTTGCCAAGCTCACGCCTCTTCTCCCGGATCTCTTCCTCGAGATTTTGTCTATGCGCATTCTCCTTCTCGATTTGCTCCTCTCGAAGCTTCAACTCCTCGCGTATGTGCTTTGTATCAACTTCATTGTAATAAAGCCGAAAAAGATGCAGTTCGGTCCGTTTTGAAAGCTAAAAAGACACGTTTTACCTTGCTGGTATGAAAACGCCGGAGAAAATGCACTAGTTACAAGACAAAAGCTCTAGTTGGAAAGGCTCTTGTTCGACCGAAAGAAGTGGATGTGAATAATGTTAGTATAACAATGACGAAGTTGAGTGGGCAAGGAGGCCTTATATCAGAAACGATAAGTTTGGAAATAACAACTGAGGAAACGATCCCCCCCCCCCACCCTCATAATGCTGCTCACATCTCATCTGCTGTTTTTGCGTGCCAATTGTCGCGTCTGCCTACCTGAGAATCCCACGTTTTCTGTTCTGGGTACCATTAATGCCCGTGTTTACGATGTCCTGCATAACCAGGCAAAAGCTCTGAAGACCAACACATCCATGCTGTTTCGTGGATGCATCTGAGGCTGCTTAGTAACCTTGTGAAGTGAGAGCCTCTGATGCCTACGTGTCGCAAGGCAAGTGTCGAAGGCAACAACAAAAAAATTGCACTCACTAGATCATTATTTAGTCGGCGATACTTCTCTGCTTCGTCAATTTCTATGCGAGCCTCCTTCCTCTCAGCTACAATGTTTTTCTTCTTGTTTAGGTTGAAAGCAGCTTCTTCTTCCAACTTCTGCATTTCAGACTTGGACCTGTCATATTCGTCTTTTAACTCCGCAGACCTTGGAAATAATGTCGAAGAAGTTAGGCGCTCACCTGCTTATTTCTTCAAACATTTGACATCGTTCACGGGCATTTTTCATCGCAATGCTTTCAACTGCGCCCTGGAAGATCAGAAAATTCTTGACCTTCATAAATATGTGTATTTTTTCAAGGGCCTCGGCGTATTCGTCAACTTTTACGGGCTGAAAGTTGGCATATAACGTCTTCCCTTACCGTGCCATCGATACGGTATTCGGAGGTATTGCCGCTTATATATCGGCTAAAACGTCTCTCTGTAGCGTCCGGCATCTCGTAAACGGCCGTAACGCTTGCTGTTTTCGCAACCGGTTTCCCCACGACTGAACCATGGATGAGATCCTACAGCGTGGGAATAACGACAAGGACCATACGCTAAGCCTCGTGACCCGCAGATGGCGCGTGCGTTCACCAAGCACAAAACTGATAGCGTCCATAAGATTTGATTTTCCGGATCCATTTGGTCCGATAACTGCTGTGAATGTACTGAAGGGACCGATGACCTGTTTCCCTTTGTATGACTTGTAGTTTTCCAACTCGATGTACTTTAGACGGCCACAGTTCGAAACCATCGCCAACATCAACTGCACCGCGGCTAAAAAGACTAAGTAAAACAATTTTTATATTCTTTGGTAATTTGCCTCTGGAAACAGTGTTTTATTTAAATTGAATGCATAGATAGTCATACATCTGTTTATGATTCATTGGTAGGATGGCGTGATGTCCTTCGAGTTGGTCACCGATTCGCTGTCGGTGCTTGTGTCCTCGTCCCAATAAAAGGGTGTCAGCACTGAGCTTGCCCATTGAAATGAGTCGACTGCTTCTGTATCTCTTGCGTTCCACGCTTCTTTTCGGATTGGGTGTTTGCTTATATTACGTTTTCGGTCTACTGCAAGGCTTTCGGAGCGGAATATTTACAGACAATTTTTCACTTCACGTACTGAGAACTAATTCAGGGATACCCCTTTGTTGCGGCTTCCTAGCAGGTAATTGCATTAGCCAGAGCGACACGTTTCTGTTTAACTTGAGGTTTTCCTGATTTTACGTATACCATGCACAACCATCATCTTCTTTCACCTCTTTCATTTATGCAGTGTTTGGAGGACTTCTTTCGCCACATATATGCAACAAACTGCAACAGTTGCGCCCTAATGAGACTGAGTGGTGTTCCGTCATACGATGCTTGGTATTATTCTTCGGAATCACCCACGCGACAACGAAAATCGACTTCATATCCAATTCGCAGCTTCTTTTCACCGTTGCTTCTCTGTCGTTGGGGATCTGGTGGCTGTTTGACCGTTCGCTTGGTGGAATTCTCATTGGGTCTGGGACCTCCCTCTTGGGTACAGCTAGTTGTCAATTGCTCGCGAATCGTAGGGTGGTAAAGTAAGTTGACCCTTCTGCTCATTATTTGTTTAGCTCGACGGACCCACTTTTGTTCTCCTGGCTGCCGTGTGTATTTTTCTCGGGTGGAATAACCATCTCACTGGTTGGACGACAGTTAGCAAAACTCGACCTGACAGCTGAAAAACTAAAATCGGAGTAAATCGCCAAAAATTAGACCTGTGTCGATTTGCATTTCCCTGTCTTGCGCGCTCAATCTCCGTTGTGTATTTTGAACAAGATATCCCCCATTTCAACTCTCCTTTTGATCCTAAAGCATGTAAGACGCCAACCTGTTAATTTTATATTTTGTTTTTTTTTAAATACCTGCCACCTGAACTTTATCTGGTTTCTTCGTTTACCTTGAGTGTTCTTCGGTTTGGGGTCGTGTCCTATCACAGAATATCCCTTATTTTTACGTCTCACAGTGCCTCTTTATACTCCATTACCTGATAGAGCGAACCTCTTGACTTACAATCATGCCTCGTTCGGTCACTCGTTAATCAAGTTAATGTGTGTCTAGCCTACAGCGATCTAGTTAGATGCCATTTGCTAGTTCCTTCGTATTTTCTGGTTAATTCAAGGTTCCACAGCCATATGTGCGGCAGCAACCTGGTGATGGGTTAAGGCACCAATTAAGTCCTTGGACTCCGCCCTCTCCTCTGCCGAATCCTGTAAGCTTATTTCTGTATCAGCTCAAAGACCACGTTTGTCTGCTCAGAGACCCCGCATAAGACCTTTGGATTCTGTTTCCGTCCACCATTTGACCGTCGTTACTGACGATGCCTACCGTTTGCCCCACAACATGGTAGGCGCAGTTACTTAAACTTGCACGTGAACTAGTTGATAGTGATAGCGGACCTGTGCTGCACCTACCGCGGTCTCATCCTTTGCCCACCTGAGCTCGACGTCGAGAAAGAGTCAGGAAGACCGGAGGCGGAGTCGGAAACAGTGGCTTACCGAGCGCGTTGGATGACATGGCTAAACAGCCCGTCTGCGCGTGTCACACGCCCTGTCCGCAAATAATGGGCCAGGATCTCACGAAGGTAGCAAAGGGGTAGCTCGGATCCTAAATGAGTGGGAGTACCATAAAGTCGACATTAAGAAGGAGTCACTGCGGCCTCACTTCCAGTTCCGAGAGGTAGGCTGAGTTATTCTGTTAGTTGGCAGTCTCCCCAGCCGCGACTTCTAGCGCACCGCGGTAGCATGGAAGCATGCCAGACTGCTTGTTGTGAAGGATATGCGCTGAATGCCATGGGGAGTCGACTTCACTTTTTTCATTTCAACACCATTCTACTGCTTGAGCCGGTCAATCATCTGATGCGGAGATTTGGCGAGGTAGCTGACAAAGACGACCTGTCTACCTGTGCTGCATGGGGCACTGTCTACCTGTGCCACACGCGGACTGACCCAGCGCAGCACGGCATAATTTTACACACAAGGGGTGGGCGGGTCGGTTCTCACCTGCGTTAGTGTCATAGAGGTATTGCTGGGGAGGAGCCATTGAGCTTGACTCAGTCTACCAGTCGGCCAATGCACCCAAGCATACTCAGGACGAACTGCGAGGCCTGAATTGTACTGTTAATTGATAATCTTCCAAGCCTCGAGGTTCGGCTCGTCAGACCTCTTATAATCAGGAATGCGCTGACATGCCGTGGGGAATGGATTCCCTAAAGTCTACTTCACATTCACCCCTCTACCGTGCGCAAGTTGATCGTCCTAGCCGGTCAACCAATCAATGCTGAGATTTGACTCAGCGGCTGACGGATAGAATAGCCGTCTAGGCTCGTCGGTCATGATGGCGGTCGTAGTCGTGGGGGACGTGACAGGGTTGACGACAGAGGCTTTTGCGGGGACGGGAGGTAGATTTGCGGTGTCATTGCATCATGTCTGGAGATAACCGATGAAGCTGATCCGCACGCAGTATGTTCCTTAACAGCGAGGACACGTTGGGAGTGATGGGATGCCGGGGCTAAGAGTCCGCGGCGCTCGCGACTTGTGAGCCGCTCTTCTGACTTTCGCAGAGGCGATCCCGTCGTCACCGTAGATTGGTATCCCAATCATCACTGCTCTTCTCTCGGCCGGTCGGTTTGCGCGAAATCTTTCCGGGTCGCCAAAATGATTTATGGATCCTTGACAGGATTCCGCAGGGATGCCTTGTAGCGTCGTTGTTGTACTCGTCGGCGAGCGCTCGTGGGAAGTCTCCGTACGAGAGTTGCTTGAGTAGGCGCTCGTAGTCCATCCTCACAAGATGACTTCTCGATCGCAATTGCATTTGACTCAGCATGGCGTGTACGCTGTGGATTCCATTCCGTTGCAAGATTTCCGTGTTGGGGATCCTGTCCTGCCACTTCAGCTTTGGTATTCTGCAGACAGCTGAGATGGACGTGGTCCATCTTCCTGGATTGATTGGCAGGTATGATCAATGTCTTCGTCCCGTGTACTAGCATTGTCATGGCTACCGCCCTGAACATTTCGAGCTCCGTGTTGAGTCGGAGTTCGTGATTCTTCCAGACGGAGGTCTACAGCGAGTCGAAAGCCTGGCTAGTTTTTGAGACCCAGTGAGTCACTTCGTCGTCTATCTTAGTGTTTGTCCAGATGATACTGGTGTCCAGAAACACTAGTAACCTGTGGAGAGGGGGTAGAGATGGAGACAGGGCTGTTGTTATCTGTTTTACTGTTTTGATCATGATTTTTTACATCCGGGAGCTACGGTTTACTTACTTACTTGATACAGCTGCGATCATGCCTGATCTAGCCGGCCTCGATGATGTCCCGAACTGTACCTCTCCACGCGTGACGATCCGCGGCAGCAGACCTGGACAGCTCAACCCATTCCCTTCGCCAACGACGGAGACCGAATACCGAAGGTCCAAGAACTACCTCCATGTCTCGACGGACAGTGTCGAGCCAGGTTTTGAGTTGACCCCCTCTTCGACGCCTCCAATGGGGCAACGGTGCCGGATCGAGGGCAGTAACACTGAGCTCCGGAGGTGGACGACGAAGAACATGCACGAACCACCTCAGTCGTCTTTCTTGGATGGCCTGAGTTATCCTTGCGATGTTGTCGTAGCGAGCGCGGACTGTCTCATTTGATACGAAGTCGGTGAACTTCACTCGAAGGATGGTCCTTAAGCAGTGGTAGTCAAATACCTTCAGTTTTCGCTCGTCCTCCACGCGCAAAGCCCAGCATTCACAACCGTAGAGAAGGACAGATCGGACAGATGCACGGTACACGCGAATCTTAGTGGTGATGGAGAGGTCACGTCGGTCCCACAGGCATTTCCGAAGGCTTGAAAAAACCCAGCGGGCAGCATCGATTCGGGAGACAATGTCGTCCTTACTCTGTCCATTAGACAGTAGCCTCGCTCCAAGGTATTTAAACCTACTTCTTCAAGTTGACAGCCATCAATCCCGAGGGGTGCCTTCTCCTGGTCAGGGATGCAGCTTGAGAACACTTTGGTCTTCGCAGCGTTTATGGACAAACCGACCGATTTAACGACCTCGTTCACCCGTGACACCATAGACTGCAGATCACCAAAACTTGAAGCAAGTAAGGCGATATCATCGGCATAGTCAAGATCAGTCAGTCGATATCCGGTTGAAAACTCAACGCCGTCACTCTCGCGTAGGGCCCTCCCGAGGATCCAGTCAATAGCGTAGTTGAACAGTATGGGTGACAGGATACAACGCTGTCGGACGCCAGACCGAATACCGAACGGTTGGGAAAGATTGTTGCGGACCAGGACTCTCGCAGAAGTGGAGCGATAATAGGCCTTGATCATGGCGATTATTTTTGCCGGTACACCATATAACGCCATTATCCGCCACAGGGACTCACGGTGGACGGGATCGAATGCGGCGGCAAAGTCAATGAAGCAGACGGCCGTCGGTTGTTGGTAGCTATGGCGAAATTCGAGAATGCGCCTCAGTGTGAATATCTGGTCTGCGCATCCACGTCCAGCACGAAATCCGGCTGGGTTTGGCCTCGTCCTTGAGTCACGCATAGCCTGGAATCGCCTGAGTAGGACAATAGCGAAGATCTTCACAGCACCGTCGATGTGACTTATGCCGCGGTAGTTCTCGCATCTCGTCTTATCTCCCTTCTTGAGGATAGGTACAAGGATGCCTAAGCCCCAGTCATCAGGAACAACCTCGTCTCTCCACGCTCGTTCAATCACCTCATGTAGCCAGGGCGCCAGAGTGTCGACATAAGACTTGAAGATTTCAGCGGGTATACCGTCCTCTCCGGGTGCCTTATTGTTGCGCAACTTTCGTGTGGCATCGGCGACTTCTCCCTCGGAGGGGGGATCGCATGGCACTGCATAAGTAGGAGAGGGAAGAAACTCCGCTGAGGACAAGAGAAAGGGCGAGGTAGGTTGGGTATCGAAGTTGAGATGGTGCTCACGCCAGCGCTCGACTTTGGCCGAGTTGTCAACAATAAAGCCGCCGTTTACATCGCCAACAGAGTCACTCAGTGTACGGGGCTTACCGCTAACATGATAGATCAGACGGTAGATCTTTCGAGTGTCACCAAAGTCCGAGGCCTGTTCCATGGAGGTCGCTATTTCAGCCTAATATTTCTTCCGGTCATCCCTGGCCGATTTTGCCGTCATCTTCCAGTTCGACCATTCCAATCGCCAGCAACAATCAACAGATCGCGGCGAGGCAGTCTTTCAACTAGTGCTTGCAACTGAGAGTAAAACGCCTCTTGATTGCGCTGTTCGCAGCCGAAGTTTGTGCGTACACAGAGACGATGGAGATGTTCGTGAAGTGACCCTTCAATCGCACGTAGGCTATCCGATCATTGACTGGTTCCCCTGCAAGTAGCGCGAGGTCCGTTTGTTGTGATAGGGCGATCGCCATACCGTGTCGACCAGAAGAATCGCGCGGGCTGCTGTGGTACACGGTGAAGTGTGATTCGACTCCCGAGATCTTTATTTCACGGGAGCCTGAGTGAGGGAGTTTAACTTTAGAGAGACAGCAGACATCCACGTTGTATTGGTAATGGCTGAGTGCGGTCAGACTTTGGGTACCAGGGTCCAGGAACGTTCGCACATTCCAGCATCCAATACCGAGAGTCCGTCCACGATTGAGTAGTCCAGCTCGCATACTATTCGCCCGCACCATTGGACCAGGGTTACAGAGCGCGTCTATGCCCGCGGACGCCGTAGCATGGGTCGTAGTACTGTGATTGGACATGTTTCATGAGGTTTCTTGGGAATTTCGAATACGGGCGGGTCCCCAACATCCGGTCGGATTGTTTGTTCGAGGTTGTCTCCTCTAGCGCTTTGGCTTAAAGCCTAAACACAAGGCAGTGGTGGCAAGTAAACTTATTTAATGGCGGTTTACGGTCGCCATGTCACAATGCCGTCATTGGGCTTTGCGGCTTTTTATAAGGCTTTCAGCGTGCAAGACCTCAGTCTACCGCACCCTAGTAGCAATGTCGCTGCTGGTCCGCGACTGCTTATTCGTCAGACCGGGGTCTGCTTACTTCGCAGCTAACCTTCACTGAAGGTCGTCCCACTATCCGCACCTGTGGACGCGCCGGGTAGCCAGCAGCTAGGCTTACGGGCAACCCGTCTTCTCGGAGGCCGGATGACGTGATAATCGCGTTTTAGGTCATCTTTTGTAGCCCCTTCACCCGGTAGGAAGTGAACAGTGCTGTATTTGAATAGGGCTGCTCAGACATCCCAGACGACTGCGTCTTAATTTGTTGGAAGAGCGACCTAACTTAGCCTGGGCCGCCCACAAGATTCCACGTCATTCCCTCCGTGGGTATTTTGGGAAGTGGGCAGGCGAAAGGACGATAGATGAGAAGGGGAATAGAATTACCAGGTGTGGGGACACACACAACAACGAATACCCTCATCCGGTTTAACCCACTGATCGAGGCGGTCTCCGGGGTGTGGCTGCTAGGCAGAGTTTTACTTCGGGTAGCCTCAGCTGAGAGTTGGGTGTGAGTTAAGGGCCGTGCGGAGCAGCCACGACCTGCACAATTTAAATGATGCCGCCTATCACATCTACACGGTTTTCTGGCTAGAAACCTCGTCCACGAACCACATAAAGTGACAGCAATCTTGACTAAAGTTGTCCGATCGAATAACCGGCTTACATTTAGAGTGGGACAGATTTCGGTGACACTACATGACTGCCAACTTGTCCACCAAGTCGATAGAGGGTCCCACCAGGAGCGAGTGGTACTCTGATCACTGACGGCTCATCGAAACCCCAGTTATTTCCTAAATACTCCGAACAACCGGCCTACTTTGATCTCCCATGTGTAGTAAACCGACTAACGCTGCAATCATTCAGTTGAAAGAGCGCCCCTCCGCTGCGCCTAATTTCAGCTCACCAACCGTCAAAAAACGATATCAAACATCACCGGGAGCTTTTCACTTCAACGACACCCACGAGTTTTCGTTGACAGTGATCGAAGGACCATAAAGGACCCGAATGGCGAGTTCAAGTGGCCCAGCTCATGACGGAGCACATTACATGTGATAGGTTTTGCCTAGGTCATGACCACGTCACTCGTACCAGTCGGAAGGGAAGCAGCCTGCAGGTCTGAGGAAACACTTTCAGCAGTTGGTGAACCGATGAAACCCCAGTCCCAACTAGAAGATCGCTGTTTGCCGGCGCCAATGCAGTTGCGAGTAGGTGAATTGCGGTCGGTAACTGCGGACGTGGATGCGTGAGCATTGGTGGTTTAAGGTAGTCACCCATGCCGTGTCGTCGGATATATCCTTGCCGCTGACATCGTTTGTGTAATGGACTGCGTTGCTGGTCATCGGTTATGACGGGCCCAAGAAGCCTGGATTCCGACCGTCATGCGAGCTTATCTACACCTGCTCGGCTATTCAGGTCTACCTGAAAAGAGGCAGTCGTAGTGTGAAACCATCGGGCCCGCCAGTTTTAGTCAGGGTAGACGAGAAGGGGACAACACAATCTATAGCGAAATTTCGGTACAGGGCGTCAACTGTGCCCTTAGTGGATTACCAAGTAAAATAACTCAGTCGCCCGAAAAGTCCTGCGACTTTAAACGGCTTTACACACATCGTGGTAGTTTCGACGCACGTCAGATTTATTTCAGTGAGGAATGTACTAATGTGCCGTAGGAGGTGTTCCCTGATGCCCACGTTCCCCTCTCTTTATTACCTCTCTCTCTCTCTCTCACACACACACACCAGTCCACTGTCCGAGCCGGTCAGCCATCTGACTGGGATTGGGCGCCGTGGCTGACAACCGCAGGAATTCGTCTACGTGTGCTACATACGACACGGTCAGGCACTAGGTTGTACCAAGGATTATGCATCCTTCTGACGTGCGAGTTCCATTTTCTGCCCGGCTGCGGATGGTCGCAGACAAGGCGAACGGAGGCGTCGCTGCAAGGGCACCTTGAAGACCTCACTCAAGATCGACGGGCATGGCGCACTGCCGTAAAGACTAGAGCATTCATTTTTGAGGGCAGCTGAATGGTCACTGTCAAGGAAAAGAGAAAGACTTGTATGACTCAAATGCCACGGACCAATGACGTCAGCTGCAACTCCTGTCATCGTGTCTACACTGTCAACGGACATTTGGGCATGGATCAGCCTTGTTGGACATCTTCAGATCCAGTACAATGTCACCACGACTAACCCACCTCTCCTCTCTCAACAGGCTACCAGTACAAGCAATTCTGATGCGAATACTCCTACAGCCTTGCAAAAACATTACTACCACTGTCCCAACCACCAACAGTTTAGACGTAACTCCAACCTGTCACCATTGCAACAGCGCCTTCTCGTCGCGTAGGCCTGATCAGTCATATTGAAATCCAGTGCCTGCGGCTCTGACATACATCTGTCACACATGCTTAAAATACCCCAGGACGTTTAGACACCACATAGGCTCAATCAACTAATGCGTATCCATGGCAGCCGAATTCACCGCAATGTCAGTACGACAAACCAACTTCCTACAAATGAAATCTCCCCTACCGCCATCACTATCTTCTCCGCCACCGCCGCTGACACCACCGACCACAATAACAACACCAGCTCAGCAGCTACAGTCCAATCCTGTCCCTTCTGCCACTTCGCATTTGCACCACATATCAGCCTGGTCAGAAACTTGCAAATCCATCACACTGAAACTGGCGTAGCAGCGCGAAAAGCCCAACTTTACATCCGCCGCGCCTGCTTTACTTGCCCGCACTCTCAAGGGCATTCCACCATCGTGTGGGCTAGTTAGTCATGGGCGTCTGTATGCAAATCTCCTATAACACTGTACTGAAGACATTAGGATCACACTTTGTCCTTCCTGCCCACATGCGTACACATTCTAGGCCAAACATGAACTCCCTCTGCACTAGCCGCCACACTGGATAACAAACACATCTTTTACAAGTGGCAAGCATGTGGTCAGTTTCGCCAACGCCGGTATGTCGGGCTCAAAGTCACACGTCAGAATATGCACATCTCACGTAAGGGGGAGCCATGTTCTTTGCTTATCCTGGTTCACTACTTAATGACTAAGTCCAGTGTGTGGCACACGTACACGGCTGTCTTGCTCTGCCAGTCACTTTTATGGCCAGCCGGTTGACAGGCTCGGATATTCGACAAGGGTATGGTTAACGCCCGGGGTCACTTACTCTGGGGAGCAATGGTATTGAGGAAAAGAGCCAAACATCCAAGAACTTCGTGGTATCACAAATTCTGATCCTCCATACTGTCACCAATCAAAATGGGGCACTATTTTTTAGCATTTAATGATAATGATAAACAAATTTGGTTTCCATTTGGAGGCATTGTCAAAAAGACATTGCACTGTTGTATTTTTACTCCGATGAATATCTTAAAGCTTCTCGATCAATCTAACGCAGCAGCCACCGAGGGGTCTTTCCATTCCTTTCTCTGGCATCTACAAATAAATATCGCCATTCTTTTACATTTACCACAATTGCTCCTCGAAGTAAGTGACCCCGGACGTAAGTAATACCCTTACCGGACATTCGACTGGTTTATGGGAGGAGAGAGAGAGAGAGAGTGAAACTGGAAATATATCCACACGGCGCTACATCGCGTTCCTCACTATAACAACTCTGGTGCACTTAAGTCCACTACGACGCACTAAACGTCGTGGCTTGGAAGGTTTCCATCTGACGGGATAGCCGTGCCCACCTACTCGGTACTTTATGGGCACAGGGAGTGATCGATGAACTAAGAGCCAGGCTCCATGACTTATTCCTAATGTGGTCTTTATATCACTCACGCAAGTGAGACCCCATCCGCCCTCTGTGCATGTATGGTAGGTTTTGCGGAGACCAGGCTGTGTGTGGCACGAGCAGACAGACTGTTTAGCTCAGTATTTCATTGCACCCGAACAAATCTTCGGTTGTTTTGACATCGAAGCCATATGGGGGAGGGAGGGAGAAGAGAGTGCTGCAGATGCTGCGAAAGCCCACCTCACCACAAACTAATTTGTGCGCATGTCACCAGTGTCGCTCCCACTCCGTGGGCACACGGTGGGTGTCGCCTCCCGAGACGGTCGAATTGTCACATCTCTGGTAGTT